GGTGGTGAGGTGAGTGGTGGTGGGTGGTGGTGGGAGTGGTGGTGGGTGGTGGTGGAGGGTGGTGGGGTGGTGGTGGTGGAGTAGGGAGTGTGGTGGAGGGGTGGTGGGATGGTGGTGGGTGGGGAGTGGGTGGTGGTGGGAGGGTGGTGGGTGGTGGTGGAGTAGTAGTGGTGGTGGGTGGTGGAGGGTAGTGGTGGAGGGTGGGTGGTGGGAGGAGTGGTGGTAGTAGGAGTGGGGTGTGGTGGGTGGTGGGAGTGGTAGGAGTGGTGGGGTGGTGGTGGGAGTGGTGGGTGGTGGTGGTGGAGTGGTGGTGGAGGTGGTGGTGGAGTGGTGGTGGGTGGTGGTGGTGGAGTGTGGTGGTGGTGGTGTGGGTGTGGGGGGGGTGGTGGTGGTGATGGGTGGGTGGTGGTGGAGAGTGGGTGTAGGGGTGGTGGGGTGGGTAGGTGGGTGGGAGTAGGATGGTGGAGGGTGGTGGGTGGTGGGTGGTGGTGTGAGTGGGGGTGGGTGGTGTGGTGGGTAGGTGGTGGGTGTGGGGGTGGTGGTGGTGATGGGGTGGTGGGTGGTGGTGGTGAGGGGTGGTGTGGTGGGTGGTGGTGGGGGTGGTGGTGGTGGTGGTGTGAGTGGGTGGGGTGGTGAGGGGTGGTGGGAGGGTGGGGTGGTGGGTGGTAGATGGGTGGTGGGTGGTGGTGAGGGTAGAGGTGGGAGTGGTGGTGGTGGGAGGGTGGTGGGGTGGGTGGTGGTGGTGAGTGGTAGGTGGTGGTGGTGGTTGGGGTGGTGGTGGTGGTGGAGTGGTAGGTGGTGGAGGGGAGTGATGGTGGTAGTGATGGTGGTAGTGCAGTGATGGTGGTGGTGCAGTGATGGTGGTTGTCAGAGTTTTGTGGTAATTTAGTGGCTTCTATTAGATGGAGTGGTAACTCTCTCTCTCTCCTCCTCCCTATCTTACAACCAACTTCAACATCCCTTACACGCATCCTCCTCCCTCTCCCTATCCTCATCCCTTCCACCCATCTCCCTCCTCCCCCTCCCTCCTCTCCCTACCCCCATTGTTGAGACAGTAGACAGTAGTGTGACTGTTAGTACACACAGCCACGACCTACATACACCTCTACCCTACACCTCTCTGTACCTCCCTCTCCCCTTCTACACCTCCCACCCCACCCCCACCCCTCCCACCCACACCCCCCAACCACCACTCCCAAATCCTCACGTGGTTCCTGCCTTAAATCTTCTCCCCGTGATTGGACGTGTGAAAGCCCCTATACGACCCAATTCTTAAAATTCTCCCAAGTACCCAAAAAAATTCTCCTGACCACATGAAATTCTCAACAGTATCGATATAAAATTCTTGCAGGTACCGACAGTAAATTCTGGCAAGTACCGACAGTAAATTTTTCCAAATATGCCGACAGTAAATTCTTGCAAGAAAAAACAGTAAATTCTTGCAGGTACCGACAGTAAATTTTTCCAATTACGAAGATAAAATTATAATTGGTGACGTAAAAATCATTACTGTATTTACATGACCCATTTGAAGCTAGATCTGTTACTTCTGGTTTATGACAAGACACAGGTACGGTGGGAATGACACAGGTACGGTGGGAATGACACAGGTACGGTGGGAATGACACAGTACGGTGGGAATGACACAGGTGCGGTAGGAATGACACAGGTGCGGTGGGAATGACACAGGTGCGGTGGAATGACACAGGTACGGTGGGAATGACACAGGTACGAGTGGGAATGACACAGGTACAGTGGGAATGACACAGGTACGGTGGGAATGACACAGTTACGGTGGGAATGACACAGGTACGGTGGGAATGACACAGGTGCGGTAGGAATGACAGGTACGGTGGGAATGACACAGGTGCGGTAGGAGACAAGGTGCGGTAGGAATGACACAGGTGCGGTAGGAATGACACAGGTACGGTGGGAATGACACAGGTGCGGTAGGAATGACACAGGTGCGGTAGGAATGACACAGGTACGGTGGGAATGACACAGGTGCGGTAGGAATGACACAGGTACGGTGGGAATGACACAGGTACACCGGGAATGACACAGGTACAAGGTCCACTTTCAGGCTACTACCGCGGTCGAGACGGTCCGCACCTGAGGGACACCTTAAATTAGCCCTCACTGACACACCTGTTACCTCCTAGCTGTTGGTGTAGAGCAGCAGGTGAACTAGCTCTCTCTCTCTCTACACATACCTCTCACTTATCTCTCAATATCTCACTATCTCTCAGTATCTCACTATCTCAGTTTTGGTCAATAAGTGAGAAGATTACCTATCTCCGTCGATTTCTTTCCTCTTTGCGGTTTCATTCAATCAAGAACGACATTTCTTTTTTTATACGGAAAATAGGTGTTTCTTACTTCATACTTCATGACCCGCCAGTTAATAGAAGGAGGTACAGTATTTACTTCACTTACTTCATGACCTGTCGTCAGAAAGTGACCAACAGACCCTAGACACGAGGAGACAGGTGAGGTAACACTACCTGTCTTACCTGGGCGGCGCCGCTTACCTGTAATGATATATTATTTGAGTGATCGATACAACCAAATGACTCGCCTAGCCTAGCCTAACCTAACCTAACCTAACCTAACCTAGCCTAACCTAACCAAATGACTCGCCTAGCCTAACCTAACCTAACTAACCTACAAATACTCTGCCTAACCTAACCAAAACCTAACCTAACCTAACCTAACCTAACCTAACCTAAACAAAAATTTTAACCCAAAATTGAGAAAACTATAAGAAAGGAGGAGAGAAGAGGAAAGGAAGGAAGGAAGGAAGGAAGGAAGGAAGGAAGGAAGGAAGGAAGGGAGAATGGGAGTGACTGAGGAGGAAGTGAGGAGAAGAGGAAAAGAAAGAAAAGGGAGGAAGCAATAAAGAGGGAGGAGGGATGAAATACTAAAGAAGGAATAAAATTAAGATAAAGAAGGAAGGAAGGAAGGAAGGAGGGAAAGGACGGGAAGGAGGGAAGCCCTGCGCCTGCCAGTATAAGCTTGAGCGTGACAACTCACTTTACTTGACCTACACCGACACCAGCTGACCCGGATCATGGTGTGGGGGGTGAGGGAAGGGGAGGGGGAGGAGGGAGGAGGGAGGAAGGGAGGGAGCGGAGGTGAGGGGAGGGGGGGAGCGGGGGTGAGGGAGGAAGGAATGATGGAGGATGGGTGGTGAATGATTCTACTGAGGGAAAAGATAGAGAGGAGGATAAGGAGGGAGGAGGGAGGGGGGAAGGAAGGAAGGAAGGAAGGTGAGGGAGGGAAGGGTTGAGGACCTCTCGTGTTTACTATCACAACCACCACCAGCACCACCACCAGCAGGAGCCACACAACAAGTAAACAACAGTAGTACGAGAGGTCAGGTCCCCGCCACACACCATGGAGGAGGGGGGGAGGGACGGCCACATCCGGGCAGCGTAAGAGGAGTCAGTCCCATAGGTGAGGCGGCCCATTAGTGGCACCACAGATACACCAAACATGATGACTTGAACCTTTTCTCGACACACAGGCAGGTACTGTACTCGCTCTACCTCCTTCACTTCCTCAACTACAACGTCAAGTATCTGTTTATAGTTAGATGGAATAAGGATGACCCTTATGCGAACCAGAGACCCCCTTAGGACAGGACAGGACTCACAGGGGGGGGGGGACATACAGTGCTATCCAACTATACTCGTATCTATACTGTTTACAAGATCGAAACCCAACGTTGGTATCATCAAACCTTAACAGTCAGTCAAGTGTATTAAATATCAATGAATATTCGGTGTCAATATATATCTTTATTCGTCTGTCTATGTATTTATCTGTCTATAAAACGTAAATAGTCAGAAAGACAATATAATAATTCAAACCATTTCGTCACGAGAAGTATAGTGGTCGTCGTGATTGGTCCAGGAGGCGTGACGTCACTTCCTCCAACATGGCGTCAGTATTGGGGAGGGTTGTGGTGTGGCTGAACAATTTTTCAGGTGTCGCTGTGAGTGTCAGAGCGAGGCCTCGGGCAGGTAGACCTTCAACTCTTTATTATTCTTAACAAAAGCAGGTAAAACAACCATATAACACAAACCTCCTTTACCGCGTTTACTTTTGTTTCAGGATAACAAAGGGAAGTATTGTCTGAGTGCTCTCTCTCTCTCTCTCTCTCTCTCTCTCTCTCTCTCTCTCAGGTATTTACACACGTTTCGGAACACCATTTCTTCCCTCCTCAGACCACGACGCGAAGGTCATAAGGAGCACGTGAAGATTAGGCACCCCAGCTTATTTCACACGACTGCACTATCTTACGGTGATCTGACCTAACATTAACATAACCCTTACCTTCTTACTTAACCAGCTATTAATCATCAGGTGAAATAATCTGGGATGCTTTCAAGCTTCCAAAAGGCTATGCAATTCCTAAGTGGGTCTCACGAGCTTGACGGTCCAGTTAGAGACAGTGTGGATATAGCACACTGTACACAAGGAGGTGGTCTAACCAGCACTGTAATGACTCTATTTATGTAAGCCACGTACCCATTCCCAGCTGGGTCGACTAAAGGTGCCCAGAGAGTAAACTGATATATCTTGTTATGGACGCGGCCCAGTAACCCCCCCCCACCCAATGTTTGTACAGCAGTGAGAATAACAACATCGTTTTATCGTACAGCAGAAAGAGCAACATCACGCCCATGACTCACGGCTGGGGGCAGAGAACATCACTAAACTGTCGTGCTGGATATGTAAACAATAAAGAAAAGGTCTGTTAATGGCTAGTTACTGCAGTGAGCCCCTCCCTCCCTCCCTCCCTCCCTCTCTTCCTCCTCCTCCTCCTCCCTCTCTTCCTCCCCCTCCTTCCTCTCTTCCTCCCCTCCCTCTCTTCCCCTCCTCCCTCTCTTCCTCCTCCTCCTTCCTCTCTTCCTCCCCTTCTTCCCCTCCTTCCTCTCCTCCCCCCTCCTTCCTCTTCCTCCCCTCCTTCCTCTCCTCCTCCTCCTCCTCCCCTCTTCCTCCTCCTCCTCTTACGTATGCTCGACGCGGCTCACTTGTAAACTCGTGGTAGAGTTGCCACTTCGCCTTTTGTTTGGGGTGACTCGAGGCCAACAGTTGGAGCTTCAGTTAACCTGCTCTGACCCGGCCCTTAGCTGAGAGAGCGAGAGGGACACACAAAACGAATGAACAGATGAGACAGACAAAGACAGAGAGACAGATGAGACAGACAAAGACAGATATAGAGACAGTATGAAACAGGCATAGACAGAACAGACTGACAGACACAGACAGTGAGTGAGAGATAAAATGAAAGTCACTGCATAAGACAGAGAAAGATAAAAAGCTTATTTAAAGATACGGAAAATCATCGGTAGACAGAAGAGATCAACACACAACACTATCATATCTTAATAGGGTACAGTCATAGTGTAATTCCAACGCCATCTTTTCCTCCACATGTGTGTGTGTGTCTTTTAACTCTAATAAAGACGTCATAGGTAAAATACAAACCTAACATCCCAATTACAGGTAAAAATATCGACCCCAATTTAATGGTTAACGAATACATGAGAATCCACCTTTTAACCGTAACTCAAATCTACCAATTAAAATACCTTCTCGCATCACCAATTACGGTACAAAAAAAAATCTCTAACGACCATTTGAGTATCCTACCCCCTCCCCCACCCCCGACGCCCCCTCTCCACTCAACTCAGGATAGACTATTCAACATCACTAGGCTGGGATAATGACTGGGTAAGGTTGGTTAGGTTAGGTTAGGTTGAATCACATCAGCGTTGCCTCCGTGTGTTCCGTTGACGCAATCTCTTCCCTAATGACGATAAAGGAGTCGACATAAGAGCTGAAGGACACGACCTAAAAGCTGAAGGACTCGACCTATAAACTGAAGGACTCGACCTATAAACTGAAGGACTCGACTTAAGAGATGAAGGACTCGACCTATAAACTGAGGACTCGACCTATAAACTGAAGGACTCGACCTAAGAGATGAAGGACTCGACCTATAAACTGAAGGACTCGACCTAAGAGATGAAGGACTCGACCTATAAACTGAAGGACTCGACCTAAGAGATGAAGGACTCGACCTATAAACTGAAGGACTCGACCTAAGAGATGAAGGACTCGACCTATAAACTGAAGGACTCGACCTATAAACTGAAGGACTCGACCTATAAACTGAAGGACACGACCTATAAACTGAAGGACTCGACCTAAGAGCTGAAGGACTCGACCTATAAACTGAAGGACTCGACCTATAAACTGAAGGACTCGACCTATAAACTGAAGGACTCGACCTAAGAGATGAAGGACTCGACCTATAAACTGAAGGACTCGACCGATAAACTGAAGGACTCGACCTATAAACTGAAGGACTCGACCTATAAAGGATGAGGACTCGACCTAGAGATGAAGGACTCGACCTAAGAGCTGAAGGACTCGACCTAGAGATGAAGGACTCGACCTGAAGAAGGACTCGACCTAAGAGCTGAAGGACTCGACCTAAGAGCTGAAAGACACGATCTATAAACTGAAGGACTCGACCCTAGAGATGAAGGACTCGACCTAAGAGATGAAGGACTCGACCTAAAAGCTGAAGGACTCGACCTAAGAGCTGAAAGACACGATCTATAAACTGAAGGACTCGGCCTAAAGGAGAAAGGACTCGACCTAAGAGATGAAGGACTCGACCTAAGAGATGAAGGACTCGACCTAAAGAGATGAAGGACCTGACCTAAGAGATGAAGGACTCGACCTAAGGCTGAAGGACTCGACCTGAGATGAAGGACTCTGGACCTAAGAGATGAAGGACTCGACCTGAGATGAAGGACTCGACCTAGAGATGAAGGACTCGACCCTAGGGATGAAGGACTCGACCTAAGAGATGAAGGACTCGACCTAAACGGCGAAGGACTCGACTTAAGAGATGAAGGACTCGACCTATTACTAGTCTGGATTAAGTTCGAGTTATTAAAATCTCTCTCTCTCTCTCTCTCTCTCTCTCTCACCACACCAAAACAAATCAGAGGCCAAAACAGACCCCTGAGGCAGAGTTAAAAAATATATATAAATTCCTCGTCGTTTAGTCTCCAGAATCACGAGTTAAAAAAAATAATTGGATTCAAAACTGTATTTACGTTGTAGCTTTCATTCTTGTTCACAGTATATAAAACACACACACACACACGACACCCCCCTAAAGAGGCCTCATCTATAAATTCAGTTTTAGTGAGTTTTCTAAAATCCTCCGTCAGGCAGGTGTGAGGGTGGGAGACAGTGAGGTGAGGTGAGGGTGTCGTGAGGTGTGTGTTGGAGGCTGACTATTACTGGTGGACACACACTGACACACACGTTTGTATACATACATAAGTAAACACACATATATACCTACATAAATGTATAAACAAGTAAAAACAATTATACTGATATACACATACAGATTACAATATACACACATATATAAACATCCACCCAACGCTCAGGTACAATACCTCATCAACATCCAGTTGAGGCTCAGGAACACCTCATTGTGACGTAACCGCTCAGTTTACCCTTAGCGGCCACACTAGTCAATGGCGACGAGTTATTTAACGTGACCTCCTACAGCTCCTTAATTATGGAAACCTCGGGAGGAAACCTTGGCTCTTGGGTCACGAGGAGAGGCAGGGGGTTAATAAAGGATGTGGGAAGCTAGCGGACAGGGAAGGGAAGCTAGGGCCAGGGTATTAAGGGTTAGGAGGAGGAGAAGGAAGGCGTCCCCGTGTTGCTGATGGTGGTGGTGTAGAGGTGTTTCATTCGAACGCAATATATGAATCCGGATTCTCGAACGCGTAAATATTGATGAATCCGGATTCCTAAGTATTGTTTGCTTTGATCGACCAGCTGTCTAAGGAAGGAATTATTTGGGCCTGCTCGGTAGAGAGAGAGAGAGAGAGAGAGATCATTATTCTCTCCCGCTTCAGATAAGACAGGAGGAGTTGCCAGGTGAGATAACTGACAGGGTGATGGAAGGCGCCGTCTACCAGTCCACCAGGTTTTCTCAGCTCAGAGGAAACGTAATGGGTTGATCTCTCTCTTAAGATGACGTTGTTCAGGTGTGTAAATGAGACGGATGTGTGTAAATGAGACGGATGTGTGTAAATGAGACGGGTGTGTGTAAATGAAACGGGTGTATATTAATGAGACACGTATGTAAATCAACCACATATTTAAATAATGGAGGTATGTAAATAAGGCAGGTATGTAAATAAGGGAGGTATGTAAATGGAAATTATGTAAATAAGGCAGGTATGTAAGTATATATATACAAATAAGGGAAGTATGTAAATAAGGCAGGTATGTAAATCAGCCATATATGTAAATAAGGAAGATATGTAAATAAGCAGGTATGTAAATGAGTCATATATGTAAATCAGCAAATATGTAAATGAGACCTCTCCTATATCTCTCTATCTCCATCTCTATCTCTCACCCTCTCGTTACTGTATCTCTCTATCTCTATACCTCTCGTTACTGTATCTCTCTATCTCCATCTCTATCTCTCACCCCCTCGTTACTGTATCTCTCTATCTCTATCTCTCACCCTCTCGTTATCTCCGTGAACCAAACTCCCAGACCATCGCCCGAGACTGAAGACTGCACTGAATAATTAACATAGGCCTATAGGCTTCTCTCAGTGATGACTACTATTTACCTGAGGGACTAACCTGACCTAATCTGACCCAACCTGACTCAACCTACCCTGACCTGACCTGATCTGACCCAACCTGACTCAGCCTACCTAACCTCACTAACCTAACCTAAGCCTGACCATCTGACCTAACCAATCCAAACCTAACCTACCATACCTAACCTCCTACCCCTACCAACCCAACCTTACCCAACATAACATAACATAACCTAACCTAACCTAACCTAACCTAACCTAACCTAACTAACCTAACCTAACCTTAACCTATCCTAGCCAAAGCCACCACTATATACTTGTCTTACCTGCATGCCCATCACATGAACATGGTTCATCAGGTTCATTCTCGAAACACTTCAACGAGACACTAACCAGGAACAACATTGCACCTGTTGAAATAAGGGCGACGACTTATCGACGACCTCAACCCACGCCAGAAATAGACCATGACCTTGACTTAGGCAAAAGTCAGTATAACGGCAATCCCGACGTGGCCAGTCAGTCCCCCTGGGATCACAGCTCCAACGACACCGTAAATGCCCGCGATCCCATTACATGCACTCCCAGCGACGACAGTGACCATCGGACTGCAACCACAGTCAATGGTTGCGACCAGATGATGACGACTCACTCCACAGAGGAACAAGACCCTCGAGCTGCAGCGTCAGTTGATTACTACGACACGCAGGCCCAGGACCTGAACACCTTCCTGTACACGGGTGACGAGAAGTTCGAGGGCCCGCCATTGACTGACAAGCAGATGTCCAAAGGTTCTGCTAAGAAGTTCCGTCCCCCTAGAAATGGCAGAAGCCGAGCAAACACTCCAAGCGACGCCCCAAGCTACATTCTCCGAAATGGCAGTCGTTAGCAGGATGAAAATTGTCCAACATAATGTCCTACACTGGTCCCTTAATAGACGTAATGAACTGTCTAACTTATACTATCAATTAGACCCAGACATCATTCTGTTAAACAGTACGGGCATAAAGGACGAAAGTAAGCTGAAAATTTTTGGCTACACTGTATACCAGAGGAACATGACGGGTGAGCTGAACGATGGTGTCGCTGTGGCCGTCAGGTCACGTCTGAGTCACAGAGTGTTGCCAGACTTCGAGGATTCAGTTCTGGGAGTGCAGGTGGAGACAACTAGG